ATCTTCTGTTCTTTAATTGCCATGTGCATTGCTAACAGCGGAGCTATCTCAGCCGACAGGCTGCTTGTTCATGATTCTTCAACCTATCACTCATGTGTTATAATAACTTGAGCTACTTTTTATGAACAATTTATTATGATCAGGAATTTTCCTCACTAAAACTAGCCTAGCTTAGCCCAGTTGTGGCTGTTTATCTTTTTAGAGAATTCCCGTTAGGATTTAATTTGTAAAATTTCTTCTGACACAAACTTACCATGACTGGTTAATATTCTGCTAGAGTGGGCCCTCTAGCGGGAACACCATATTTTCATGATAGTTTTTATGCTAAAGAGTTAATGCAATTGTAATCTGCAAATGATATTAAGGCAGATTTTGTTCTGACCTGTTCTACTTAACCCTGTCTCGTGTATGACCCTGACACTCAAGCACACACCTACTTCCTATAGTGGAATCTTTTTAGCATCACTGAATATCATGAATAATTGAGAGCAATGAATAAGTCTCATAATATATATCGCTTTGGACAGAGACAAAAAAAATAAGAATTGTTGTTTCACATAAAATCATAGTATTAGCGTTTTGATGGTGCCATGGCCTGTTTGTGGTGTCCATAACCTTGAACCCTGAATATATCACTTTTGTCACTAAATGACAACTGCTGGTTGTCATACTCCAATTGTTATTCACATGTATTGAATAAAAGTGCCTTTTTTAGCTGTTTTTTTTTTTTGACAATTGTTTTTTATATATTTTATTTCATGTATTGGTACTTAGCCAAAATGATACCGAAATACCAAATAAACCCACATAGGGTGAAATATTGGGATATTCATGTTATGTATGTATGCAATTAATACTTACAGACAGGTTGAAAATTTGTGGTTGAACAAATTATTCAATTTCCTGCTATTTACATGATTTCATGAATAGAAGTACAAGTTACATGTCAAATCATGATGTATTTACTTTTTTGGTATCACAAAGGTAATTTTAGTCAGTATTATTCACGTTAACCTTACTTCCTTTAATCACAAATTCACAAAATAGTCCAGTTTATAGTCTGCATTTTCCTTCAGAAGATTGAGACAAAAATATTTTGGGAAAAACTAAAAATTGACTCAAATTTTTCCTGTTGGCTCCCAAATCAGGATTCATTTCCAGAAATATTGAAGAATATAAGAAAAGTACAGGAACATTTGGGGGGGGGGGGTCTGGTGGTGAAAACATAGCTGATGCATGTTTAAAGTTGTAAATACAGTGCATATTCTTGTATGTAGTTTCACTTTCTTACCAAATAATTGTTTCCACTAGTCATAACATGGTACTAGTCGATGACAACACATACAGTGCATTGCAAATATTCCACAAAGAGCATCACCCATCTATTTATAAGTTTGGTGGCAGTGGCTCCAAGGAAGGATTGAGTCTGTTTGGTGAGTCCATCATGTTTATTAGTATTTTCCTGTTAACTTATTGGTACTGTATTACAAAATGCATGGATTTGAATTTTTATGGTGTTACGGGTACTGTAATATAAAATGCAAGGATTTGAATTTTTATGGTGTTATGGGTACTGTATTACAAAATGCATGGATTTGAATTTTTATGGTGTTACGGGTACTGTAATATAAAATGCATGGATTTTAATTTTGATGGTGTTACGGGTACTGTATTACAAAATGCATGGATTTGAATTTTTATGGTGTTACGGGTACTGTATTACAAAATGCATGGATTTGAATTTTTATGGTGTTACGGGTACTGTATTACAAAATGCATGGATTTTAATTTTTATGGTGTTACGGGTACTGTATTACAAAATGCATGGATTTTAATTTTTATGGTGTTACGGGTACTGTATTACAAAATGCATGGATTTGAATTTTGATTGTATTGAAAAGTATGGAACAAGTTAAAAATGAAAACAAACATGATTATGATTCTAGGTAGCAAACAATCAATGGTAGTACACTCCTGTCATGTTGTTTTACACTTGAATAACTTGTTTTTGAGATGATACAAAAATTGATTATTATAACATACAAAAAACAATTTGTTGGTTTGTTATGAAATGCAAGTAAAATTCAACTTAGTTTCATCGTAAGCCAATGTCGTACACAAACACTCAATGTGAAATGTTATCCACCATATTTACCTGAAACTGTGTTAGCCAAGCAGAATTTGGGGGAGATGAACTGAGCATTGAAGAAGTATTTAACTTTTTCTCTGTGATAAAAGCTAGTCACATTAAAATTTGTATTCTTGAATAGGTGTCAGTGATCACCTGAAATATAAATTTGATTCTAATTTAGATTCAAAGAAAGATTGAGATGTTCCAAAAACGAAGTCCAAATTTGAATACTCAAGGTTGTTTTGGGGAGGAACAGAGGTGGTGATGGTGGCAAATTTGCAAAATAATGATATCTGCACAAGAGAAAAATTCTTAAAAAATTATTTCCCTATTCAGCACAAAAGGAAAAAGTGAGAACAAAGTATTATACATCTCGCCCTAAAAACAATAGAATTTAGCATATGCTGAAAAAGACATACCTGGTACTTGCATATGTCCAAAAACTCTTTGCACTCATTCCAAAGTTCAAAATACCTTTATTTGATGTAAACTAAATCACCAAAATAGTTCTTGTGGTATAATCAGTAATAAGTGGTTATCTTATATTAGTTCATCATTTATTCAAGTAAACTATTACGTGACAACAATTGTCACTTGCAATACATTCTTGTTTCCAACAAAATTAACATGTAATGTAAAATACTTTATTTTCGCTTGGAATTACCGTATTTATCCAGGTAAGAGCCCATGCCCGGGCAAACGCCCACCCTTTACTTTTGATACAATAAAGAATGTCCTGGCATAGTACGCCCAGGGGGTTGTTTTCTACACTTGTAGCAAAAAAAAATAACAAAAACCTATTTTTTTACACTGAAGGAATGATTCAGGGGAAATATACTTTTCTTCCTATATTTTACATTCAATTCGTCAAAAATCAGTGAAAATAAATTCCATACAAAACACCAAAAGAAGTAAAATAATGTATTTTACAGTAAATCTGTTTTCAAAGCTTGTCCCTAGAGGACGCTTTTCTTTCAGATTATAGTTGATGCTACATGTATTCTATAGCACCTGTTTCATTAAAGTTACTATCTTTGTTGTCTCCACTGACTACCTGTGCAACCTTCATAATTGAAATTAGTCTACGACAGGTTTAGAAATATTTTAAAATGGGGTGCTTTCTAAATATTAAGCTTAATAAAGTTGTTTGTCCACATAGAATATGCTTCTTACATGCAATTGAGAAATCATTGTTCAAATTATTCTATCCAAGAAACATGAGTAACATTTCTTACATTACAGCTAATTATAATTTGTGTCCAGTTGGTTTATTTCATTATGTTCAGTATATGCTAGGTCCAGACTTTTATTATCCCTTGTTTCGCGAACTCGCCAAATGAACAAGAGCCGAAAATGAAGCAAAGATAAAATTTTATTTCAGCGTAATTTCTCGCACCCGCCGACTTATTTGCTTATTTTTATCTTCATTTTTTTACCATCCGCCGCATAACAAATCCAAGTTGCATTTTCGTGGGAGTATCATGATCAAAGTACCGAAGTCTCATGCAGATGAGAAACAAGGTTATAAATGGAATAAAATGTTATTTCATTTCTTCTTTCCGATTAATGATCTCACAATTCTTTGAGAATTACACAAATCTAATGGGAAAAAAAAATTTATTTTATTTATTTTTCGCCCTCCTCAAAAAAATTGACTTATAAAAACTTGCGAAACAAGGAATAAAAAAAAGTCTGGCCTAGGCTTTGTACGTGTTTCAAATTCCGATGAAATAATACCACTAGAGGGCGCTATAGTCATTTGAGTTCACTTTATGATACACCACCATCCTGACAGTGCATAGTGTATTAAATTTTTTCCTGTAGGTATAATGAATAGGACTAAGTCAGTCATAGGAAGTAAAATGCTGAGGTAGGATTAAGTGTTAGCAAGGTAGAATATTAAAATTGTATTATTTCTGTACTTGACACTAAGGTAGATAAAGATGTAGTACTGGACTCCAGACATTATTGTTTTAATTATGCTAATGTAGTTGAGAATAATTCACGTAATTAATGAATCTCTTATTTATTTATTGTTGGCATCAGAGGCATGCATGAGTAATTAATTCTGTCAGAGTACAGTTTTTGTTCAGAAATGATTGAGACAAAACAATGAAGATAATACTGTAAACAAACTTAACGTAATGTGTGCCATAATTCATTAGATGGCAGAGATACTGTAAACCACTTAATTTTCATAAGTTTTTATGATTTAATAATTTTATTGCATTCATGTAGACAAAATTTCTCAAAAGTCACTTACACTCTGTGTATAGCGTTGGGAAAATCCTTTGAAAGTTTTTGGATTTTTTGAGGACTGGAAAGTCTTTGAGATGTCTTTAATTTAATTAAACAGGAAAAATAAAAAAATCTTTGAAAAGTTTTTAAATTTCTTCATAGTTTATTAATTCATTTTAGAAAGTCCTGTTTTCTCTAGGGAACTACCATATCCTCGGAACTTTGATGAGCTTTGGTGATGATGTTGGCCTGAATTAGGGGGCAAAATGTCTTGGGGAAAAATGCAAGAAAGTTTTGGGAAAAGTTCTGGAAAAGTCTTGAAAATCATTTGGCTCTTGGTGCTATGGACCTTGACTTGTTAACAGTAATCTGGCTACCTTCGGTGTAATGACAATATGATGCATTCCTTTCGCAGATTATGGTTTTTAAGACCACTGCAAGACGTACAAATATTGAAGGAAAGACAAGATGCTGTGGCATTCTTCTTATCACCAAGAAATATTGAAGTTGTGACATCATTACAGGATTGTCTTAGACATATCAAACATGTCTCAGTGAGTCTGTCTGTCTTTATGCTGACGTTGAAGTTGTAATAATTATTAAATTCACTTCCCACCTGACACAATCACCAAAATCTCTTATTGCATTGAGAAATACACTAAATTTTCAATGGTATTGAGCAGTGCTTTTGCAAATTTTTTAGCACTGCTTTCCACTGGAACAAAGCCTATGGAATTATTGATATTGAAAAGTTGTGCTGTTTTAGAACCATAGTTCCCCTCAGAATACCTGTATGTTTGATCTTTAGGTGTTGTGCATAAAACATATGTCAGCTACTTGGTGTGTACAATGTTTATAGTTCTGTTTGTTTTTGCAGAGAATCTTGACAAGAATGAGAATGGCGCAGGCTTCCATCGGTGATTGGCAAGCATTGTACAAGGTACTGTGAAAGTTGCATGGGATTTTTCCAGACCATTTAATGACATTTTGTAGACCCGGCTTTAGGGAAATTTTGTGCAAAATATTATTTCATGAAAGTTTACCGTAATTAGATTATGCAGATTACACCAGTCTAATTTGTCTCGAAGTGAATTACATTTAATTATAGTATACGTTGTGCATCCAGTGACGCAATACACCATCTAAATGATTAGTAAAACCTTAAAATCTATGAATGACAGACTTTTGTGTCTGACTTGTTATGGGCACCTACAAGTCAGTTTGTATGTGTGTTCTCACGGTAATGTACTGAAGTCATAGCGACAGCCAAACAGTGATGACAGAATTCTGTACTGACTTCTAGTTACAAAACCATTCTTGGGTGTATCTGAAATGTATGGATCTATACCTTCCATGACAAAAGTGTTTTATTTTTGAAAGTCAAAATTGCCCAGCTGTGTTTTTCAGAGATGACCATCACAATAGATGTGTGAATATACACCAGTCATCTTGTACTACAGATCGTTTTCTGTACTTCAATAAAGAACATTCACTTTGTAACTCTAAATTAGTTATGTGTATTTTTATTTCAGACGGCATACAATGCTATTTATATTGGTGATCTATGCAGGGCACAGTCTAACAATATAATGATTTTTAAGAAGGTAAGTAATAAATACAAAATTGTTCAAGCAGTATATAGTCAACTTGCACAATGACTATGAACACCTTATTTGAGTGTGGACAATCATTTACATGTAGGTTCAGATTTAGGGCTTGCTTTCATCTAATAGTGTATACAGTTAACCGGCATCTCTTATCGAGTGCCCACCTGTCTGTAGTAGCCACAATCAAACAGTAACAACCGGAATATAAAAGATGTATGGAGTGGCCTACTGTCTAATGCTTCTATTGATTGTTAATTTCCAGATTGCCAATTCATTCTCTGAAGATTTACATCGAATTGCTAACTTAATAAGTAAAATTGTGAGTACTGTTACATTTCTTCTTCTATTTCTTTTTCTTCTTCTATAAACTTCTGTAATCCAGTGTTGTATTTTTTATTTGTGCAGCATAGATCACTAAATACAATTGATGTAGATGCAAATAATGATTCTATAGGCTATGAAATTCGCTTAACCCTTAGACCGCCATTTTTATTAGCTCCGCTGTTGACTTTGTTGAGCAGAGCTGATCATATGAGTGATTGTCCGCCGTTGTCCACGTCAACTTTTTAGTTTTTCAATTCTTCTTGAAAATTTGAAAATTCTGATTGCTTTGATACTTGGTGTATATGTACTTTGGGAATACCTTACTTGGATTTGTTCATTTCATGATGATATCTGCAATTTTGGTGAATATTTTTGTCAATTTTGGTAAAAAGTGATATTTTTTACTTCTTGTCAAAAAACCGCAAGTCTGATTGCTTTGAAATTATACATATAGGTGAACCATTCCCAGATTTTTTCATTTTGTGATGATATCTTCAATTCTGTAATTGAATTGTGCATTGCTAACAGCGGAACTATTTCAGCCCAGAGGTTGCTTGTTAATTTTTCTATAATTTTTTTGTTGGCTTTTGACCAAATGGGCATAATTTTCCTTCAAGATTTTGATTTAATATGGAAACAAATGTCACTTCAAGTTTATTTTGTGACAAAAGTTGATTGATGATCGAATGATTAAGAGTCTATCGTTGGTTTGTTTACTGATTTTGTAGGGGTTGGACACAAACCTAGCTGCATTTCATTTGACAATCTCTGGTCTTTTTCGGGAAGAAACACAACATATATGTACCAAATTGTTTTTTTTGTTTCAGCTGAAAATATTCAAATTTTAAGAATAAGAAATTCAAAGTAAAAAAATTAACATATGAGGGAAACACAAATATTGTAACTATTGGGTTTCATGATAGAGGGCGCTATAGCCACATTTTCATGACTAAGTTTATGTTATCCCACAGGTGGATTTTGATGAGTCAGCAGTATTAAATAGATTTGTTGTCAAACCTAATGTGGACCAAGATTTAGATGAAAGTAAGTGGATTCATAATGCCTACTTTTGGAGAAAGGAATCAAAATCTTGAATATTGTTGGCCTGGTTTTTTGTCTGTTTCAAATGATATCTTAAAATTGATCATCCCTCATAGACATTCTTGACAATGATTGTAATACACATGTTTCTTAGATGTTCATGTAAGTATTTAAAAATGCACAATGACTATTGTGTGAAGTAATTGGTGGTATATACATATTATAATTTGCCCTCATTCAGTCAAATGTTTCTTATAATCTCAATAAAGCTACATTGTATAGGAGCTTCTCGCACATATTGCATGTGTAATGATTTGTTTTGCCTTCCAAGTCTGCCATAATCCGTGATACTGTTCTTCACCGAACCCTGTCCTTGGGAAACTTTGTATGCACCCACCACATCGCTATGCTTCTCCTGATCACAGAATGACCATGTTTTCTTTACCCTTCACCATCCCCAGTATCTTGATCAATGCTTTCATGTCGCTCGATGTGCCAAAAAGATTTACAGCCCACATACATGATATAGTGATTGAATTAGTCCTTTTTATTGACTCTAGAGAAACGGACATACAATGGATTACCAGACTTCATGACCAAAGTAGCAAAAGAAGAACTAAAGAAACTGAGTTCTGATATCAAAGAGTGCAACGTAATATACTTACCACAACTTGGTTATTTATTAGCTATCCCCAGAACACCAGATATGAAGGAGGAACAACATTTTCATATTGATGGGCTAGAATTTATGGTAAGGATTTCATCAGTTGGTATGATGAGCAAATTACTGATGTACGGTTTTAGTTTTTACCCATTTTGCAGACCCTATTTGACCAATTTCGTTTAAACATGGCGTAACAAATACATAAGGTCTGCATATGTACATCAACTCTTGTAGCCAACTAAACACATTTGTTTGCCGAGTGATGCCAGGCCTGATTTTAATCATTCTTTGTACAAACTTATGGTTTTCAGATTTTCATTTTTAAGGTGAGTCACATATTAGGAAGCTTAAAATCTCTTCAAACGAATTTTCAAAAAAAATTAACATGTGCAAAATTATTTCTCAACAGATTGATATCACTTGTATAACTCCTTTAGAAGTCCTATTTTCAGACTCCAGCCCTTTTCAAAAAGCAAGGCCTGAGTTTTCTGATGCATGGTATTATTTTTAATGTACAATACTTGGCAATGAAGAAACCATTAACAATAAAACATTTGTAAGAAGCAGATGCACACATGTCAACAAATTGAGTGTGCTAATGTTGGAGATGTTATATCTCCTAATAATGTTTTGCCTGTGGACACCTTAACTTGGCAGCTAAAAACGGGATTAAACATCAACAAGTTTAAAGAACAAACTCTATAAAGCAAGTGTTTACCTCAAATCCAATATTTGAAAAGCAAAACCATGTCAAAGCATTTCAACGATACATGCCCCACACCCCTCCCACACCCCTCTCCCACCCAACACTCCAACACTAATTTCTGCCCTAGATCTATTTTTCACCACTGATGATATCTTGGCAATTTATTTCTTTTGTAGTTCCTATCCAATAATATGGTACATTATAAAAGTGCCAGCACAAGAGGTAGGATATACGTCTTGCATCCTTATCAAATCATCAACTTATGACATAACAATAGTGCAAATCATTGCTAATATAGTATTGTAATGTATTTATATTCCCATTAAATTAACATTGATACTCACATTATGTGTAGTATAAGAAATTTTCATCAAACATTTATCTACACAAACAAGCAAAATCAGTTTTA